GAAAAAAAATAAAGAAAAAGAAAATAATTGGTTGAGAGATCAAGAATAATTTGACCAAACCAATGAGACGGGAAAAAAAAAGATAAATGGACTGAGAAAATGGATTGAAAGATAAAAGTAGGATAAGTGTTCGATTCTGAATGATCGATAAGTTTTTTTTTCTAGTAATTTGATTACTATCGATTATCTATGAACCCCATAGAAAGGATGTTCAGCATGTTTCGAACATTGCTGAAATGGAAAATGAAATAAGCATTTATGTGCTGTTGTTTTATATGACGACAATGAAAGAAATTCGAAATATCTGGATGATGAAGATATTGTATATTATTCGGCCATTAGACAAAACAGAAGCACGAGAAAAATATTAATAATCGGAATATTCGGACTCACTTGTGTTCTTTCTCAACGAAAAATAAAAAAAAAGACGATATTTTTTTCTTTTTTGGTGGGAGTACACCTGCTTGAATCGCTATCCCTGTTTATATTAAAGTAATGACATTACAGGGAAATGTACCTCCTCGCAGGTATCGAACCTGTATCCCGTTTTCTGCCAAGGAAAACACTCCTGTAGCTGAAATGTACTGTTAGCATTTTGACTACGGAAGACTAGTCTGATGAAGGCAAATTCAATTACCTATTTCAGGAAAAATTCCTCTTCTTGTAAAACTACTACTAAGTGTGTCATTTTTGTACTAAAAACGTAAACAAATTTTTAGATGTATTTTTATTTTTATCATCAGAAATTATGTGTGGTTGGTTTGTTGGTTTGTGTATTTAACGAGTCGTCAAACGACAGTCGGCTATCGAGAGCTTATATACATACACACACACACACACACACACATATATATATATATATATATATATATATATATATATATATATATATATATATATAGTGGATGCGCACTGCTGATGAGTCCCAAATATGGGACGAAACGGTCGTCCAGTGCTTTCTGCATTCTGTTGAGATTTCTGTCAGACTCGATGAATTACTTAAATATAATTATCAAATCCTCCTAATAATTTCTATCATGTACATCATTGCTTGAACCGGCTTCTAATGTTCTAGAGTGAGCGGCTTGGTGAGAGTAGTCGTGGCTCCAGGGGGCACAGTCCTATGGTTAGAGAGAACTCAGCAGAGTTCCACCACGGAATATGTGAGCGAGCGGCGCTATGTTGAGTCTGATTTGGAATCTCTTCGTCGCCGAGGCCCATTAGAACAGTTGGTACGATGTTTGCTTAAAATCCTAACTGTCAAGGTTTCAGTTCTCGTTAGTTGATGCGCACTGCTGATTCCCAAATAAAAGACGAAACGGCCGTCCAGTGCTTTCTGCATTCTGTTGAGATTTCTATCAGACTCGATGAATTATATATATATATATATATATATATATATATATATATATATATATATATATATATATATCAAATATGTGGGGCAGTTCAATTTATATTACATGAATCATTCATACAAAAAGTAGATTAGTAAAGTTAATGATATAAATGTGGAAAAACATCTTCGCAAACAAATTTGTCAAAGTTACATTAAACTACGAACCAGGCGATGAATGTTATCATCCTTGTTTTTAATAACTTCAAGTTGTATAAGGTCTTTTTTTTAATCTGCTAGTACTTAAAGCTGTACATTCAGCCATCCTCAGGCATGGAAATTATTTTGTTTTTTTAGTAGATCCAGGTAATAGCGGACACGAAAATTTAAATGCGAATCGAAATATGTTATTGTTAACGAATAGAAACTTATGGAGCGTGTATTCGCAACGCTAAGGTTGAATTTTTTTTTTAAGTTTAAGAGAGTGCGTTTTTTTTACTAATATGTTAATTTGAGAATTTTTTTTTGTTGTAGGAGTTTTTTTCAGTCAATGTGGCATGAACTAAATTGTTCAATAAATAGAGTAATGTCGCAGCTGTTATCCCGAAGATTTGCACGTCGGATCAGTAATATAAATTGAACTGCACGACATATTTGATTTAAAAAGAAGAATATCTCTCTGAAAGATCTCTGCTGCCTTAATCGGGTATTGAACTCACAATCTTTGGGTCCTGTCACTCGATCTCACTAACGCCTTTATCCACTGCACCTTGAGGAAAATAACAGGAGGGAACTGTAACTGACATCTATTAAAACATGGCACGTGGAGCTAAAACAGTCTAACCCAGTGAGCGAAATAAATGGTTCAGTTCGACATTCCAACCACCTGAAGAAAACCGGAGAGTACATTGGTCGAAACGTTGTAATAAATATGGCGACAAAGATGAGGACAATAGTCCGAATAATGTAAATAATGAAAATGTTTCGTGCTCTTAATATTCGGTCGCAATACTCACAGAAGCAAAATAAAATAAGTATTCCTTATGGTAGATAGAAAAGACAATGAATGCAAGATCTTCACTCTAAATATAGAAATTTAATCTTTCCTAATAATTGCCATTTCTGCTTTACTAAATTTCGACTATCTCGGTATTGTGTAATCGCTTAAACATCTCCAAGAGAAACTAATTGCAAATATTAGAATAAGTTTCGACACTTTAAAAATTTGATTCATAGAAATCCATATAATAATTATCCAATATTTATTTAAAAACGAAATTCGAAGGCACATCGGTAAGGCACGTCAGCGTAAATGACGGTTCCGTATAGGATGCAGGTTCGAATCCTGTCAAAGAACGAATATTTTCTATGAAAATTTCTCGGACATTCAGTCCTGTAAATGTTATTTAATACTGTTTATTATAAACAGAGCATTTACTTAAATTCTTGTATCTATAAAAAGAATGTTAAACATAAAAATGTTTTTAATATAGATATCTATATTAAGTTTAAAATTATAAAATTATTTAAAGAAGAAACTGAGAAAAAAAACACACATATGTTTTTCTATTTATTTTGTTTTTATTGAAATTAAGTTGGAATAAACGTTAAGATCTAATGCTGCTCTGAACTCCGTTACAACTTAGATATATTTGGAGTGAAGACATGGGCTGAGTAGGATGAAATCTTACAAAAGACAATACATACGCAATCCCATTATAATACACAAACACACAGACATTTTTAGATATATAAACATAGATATTTTTTAGATATATTTATTATACACACAAATTACACAGGCATCTTACAAACACATATATATATATATATTCCCAAAAATATATATATTAGTGTAAAATAAATATATATTCATTACAAACACACACACACACATATATATATATATATATTACAAACACACGTATATTAGAGATATATGTATGTAATATATATATATATATATATATATATATATATATGTATTCATATTACACACACAAATATAAATATATATATGTATACATTAAACGCATATATATATTATATATATATATATATATATATATATATATATATATATATATATATATATAGTAAAAACATATATTACAATCGTATATATTTAACACACACTGCACAGGAAACATATATTACATAAGAACATAAATATATATAAACTTGCTATGCCAAATTATTATCGAGATAATTTTTTTTCTAATATTTCAAAAACCCGTCCAATTAATTCGCACAAATTTTTCACACAATTTTGGCAACACTGACCTGCGCAATCACTGAAATTTTCCTAATGATCTGCGCAATATAAACAAACTGGCGCCATATTTGTTATCAGAATGGTGATTTGAGCGTGCCAAATTATTAGAAAGGTTTAGTAAAATTCCAAGAATTGAGCAAAGAAAACGTTTATTAATTTCGAAATTTTCAGGGATTGCGCAGGTCAGTTTTGCCAACATTGTGTGAACATTTTGTATGAATTGATTGGAGGGTTTTTGAAATATTAGAAAAAAAGTTATCTCGATAATAATTTGGCACGCAGTGTATATATATATATATACATATATAACACAAAAGAACATAAATATATATATATATATATATATATATTACACAAGAACATAAATATATATATATATCACCAAAATTTTATATAATTATATATATTACGTAAGAATATATGTATATTACATTTTTCTTATGTATATATATATATATATATATATATATGCATAAATATATAATTTTACAAGTATATATATATATATTACACACGTATATATATATATATATATATATATACATTAATATATATATATATATATATATATATATATATATATATATATATATATATATATATATATAAACTAGCAGTAGAGCCCGGCGTTTCCTGGGATGTAACAGTAAGAGATAGATCAAGTATCGACCATCATAAAGACAGAAAAATAAAATTTACAAGATTATTGTTTAAGGTTGACGGACACTCATGTATTAATTAGGTTTTTGGGTTTTTTTTTTCCGAATTGGTCAAACCCAAACTCAAACAAAATCATTGTTTTCAATCGTTAGGAGTCTATCGATTGAATAGAATTTTATTATAAACAATTGTTTTGTAAATGGAATTTTTAAAGCATTCTGAATGTAAAAATAAAGAAAAAAGTGCAAGACAATAAAAAACACTAACTTTTTGTTTTAGGTGAAGTTTTGCTGAAATCGGTTGAAAAATGTTTTTTCCGATCCCATATATAAACGAACACACACACACACACACACACACAAAAGCTGGGTTTTTATAATAAGTATAACTCGATATGAGTTGTCCCCTTTCATTCTGGCGACAGAATCGTGTTTTATCGTGTTTTCAAATTGATTTCGTGCAAAAACAATTGTGTTTTTTCCAATTTTTTCACTGTCAGAACCAGTCCAAGGTAATTTTATGTAGTCCTATGAAGTTTTGTTGAAATCGGTTGAAAAATGTAGGAAATCCGATCCAATATATAAACGTACACACACACACACACACACACACACACACAATCTGTGTTTTATAATAAAACTAAGATGATATATTACACAAGAATATATATATATATATATATATATATATATATATATATATATATATTACAATAAGAATATATGCATA